CCATTGTCTACTATTGCTATATGTTATTTATGTATTGCATGGAAGACTCGTCATATAACAACAATAATACGTCCTTATCAACAAAGAAATCGTCGTGATTTTCTTGTGATTCGTCGTATGATATTAATCATAATAGTTATAAGCATGGTATCATTCCCATTACTTATTGATTTGTTTATTCATTTACGAAAAGGTTACATAGATCCATATATGAATTCGATTGAATGAGTATCATCGAGTATTAATGCTGTTATACTTGTCATTGGTTTACCATTTATTAATCCAAAAAGATATGGATTACTCAGAAGAAAACGAAGTATTATTTATATTCAGAGGTATTTCAATACTTAACAAAATATGAATGTTGTTAAAAAGTTCAATCAATATGTTGTCTTAAGTATTTTATTCAAATTCCTATATATTTTCAGTCTTTATTATTTCATATTTGTGAGTGATTGATAGACTTGTATACATACAAGGTAATTCGATTATTATCGCCGATTTATTTAAAAATATAGCTATCTGAAAGATTGCTTTGTAATCTTATAGAATCTTAACTTCAATGAAAAAATTGAACTGAAAAAATATGATGATAGCACACAATACATTTAACTCTGGTATACGAAAGGAATAACTTGTATTATGATGTATGACTAAAATCAATATACAAAAAAATGATTAATTTGCTAATAAACAAATTTTAGTTTCCAATAAATTATTATGCTATACCCATAATAGAATTACATTAAGTCTTCTCACATTTTTTTTTTCTAAATAAGAAATATTAAAATTTGAAAAAAGATATCATTTTCTATTGTTATATTTTAAATTTTTCTTATAATTTTGTTAGACATAAATGCAATTGAAATAGACTTCAGCATTCAGCCATAAACAGGCAGCGTGGCCGAGCGGTCTAAGGCGCCGGTTTAAGGCACCGGTCCGAAAGGGCGTGAGTTCGAATCTCACCGCTGTCACTATTTTTTTTTTCATTCTATGACAGAACTACAAATATAATACTTGAATCATCGATCTTAGTCATTCACGACATTTTTTTTTTCAAGTATAAATTGGCTATGAAGTTGTTCATCAAATAAATTGTTCATATTCTTTTATTATGAAATTTCATATGATATTTCTGAATGTTATTAAAACCTGTACATAATGAATGATGATCGAACGATAATTATATAGCAAATAAAACAACATTTATGCTAAGTAAAACTATAATATAATGTAGTAGATTTATGATTTTTCTTCAGAAAACAAAGGATTTATAATTCTTGCGTTGTAA